GAATAGTCTGGATTAGAGGTCTGGAAATGGTGAAGCAAATTCATGGGATGAAATGAACAAATTGAAGCTAGATATTATTCAGGCGAAACCAGGTTTGTTTGGACCACGATTAGTAACTTCACCCTGATTTTGACTCTGTTTAACGTGGAATTAGAAGTGTAATAGAGAAGAGTTATTTGCCTTTATGTTTTATCTGTCTATGAGCTTTGTAATCACCTCAAATGGACTTATAAATTGAAAGATATGTCTAAAATAGTACAAACTGTGCAGGCTGGAAATCAAAATCTGGGCGGACTGGAAGGTGCTGTTTTAGCTCAATATTTGACTACTTTACCAATATATTTCAGAGATGTGGTGGAAGTCATATTTGTACCCTAATGTGTTAGCTAACCATAGAATTTGTAATCACCTAAATTGGCCTTATAAATTGAGAGATATGACCAAAATGGTATAAACTGTGCAAACTGAAAACCAACAGCTGGGTAGACTGGAAGGTGCTGTGCAGCCGCTGGAAACCAACAGCTGGAGCAGACTGGTAGTATGCTACTTGAAGCGCTCAATATTTGACTACACTACCTTACCAACATAATTAAGAGATGTGATAGAAGAAAATTTTGTACCTTAATGTGTTAGCTAACACTAGAATTTAGAATTACTGCAATTGGACTTATTAATATAGAGTTATGCGAGAATTTGTGAAACATGTACATGCTGCCCTGTCAGATTTCAAGGCTACATTAGAAATGATGTTGGGATGCATATGTAGCTTCATGCAACCTAAGATTATTGCTGAATTTTAACCTTCTGAGTTGAGTTAAATTAACAGCAATATTTTCCTTAATCTGACCAGTAGAAATTAAGTTATCTAATGAGTGGTACAAGTTGCATCGCGGGTGTACCAATTAGATTTCCATGCCAATTATTTTACAAGTTATCAATTGCAATTATTTTACAAGTTATCAATTGGTCGAGTTACTTCTTTTATTTATCTATTGGAAAGCCTCATAAGCCCATGAAAACACAGGTTAAAACATACAGAATTGAGACAGCGATGCAGGTAAACAGTATGCGTTTATCGAATATTTTATTGAAGAATTGTAATATACTTCTGTTTTGTGTATTATTGAAATTACCAATAATATGCTCCATTGAGACGTTTAGGTAGAAACCATGTAGATAAGACTATGTTGCCGACAATAGGGGACCAGCAGATCGCGCCCCATACAGTTTGGCACTCCTGCTACAGGGCCGTGAGTGTTATATGAGTAATATATGGGCCATAGGCAGCCCCAGCCATTACAGTATTCATCAACAGTTTCATACAGTTCTTCTTATCACTTAGGTTTCACTGTAAACCTTATGGAGCCATACAATTATGAGATTGTTATTATGTATAAAATTATAAAAAGGCTGCATAATTCATAACAGCATAATGAACAGCAGGTAAGATCATGAAAGTATATTTGATATGTGTGATTACATGGGTCTTAATTAGATTAATTGCTTATTAAGTTGAGATATCCACTGAGCTTTATTTGCTCAGCAATTAACTTAACTCGCAGTTCCTAGATCTGGACAGTAGAGAGTCATCGTACAAAGGTAAGATCATGAAAGTATATTGATATGTGTGATTACATGTTTAATTAGTTATTTCTTATTAAGTTGAGATATCCACTGAGCTTTATTTGCTCAGCAATTACTTAACTCGCAGGTTCTAGATCTGGACAGTAGAGAGTCATCGTACAACTGCTGCAGTTCATCTTTGAAAGACCCAGTCTTCAGGGTAGCTATTCATTTTGATATTTTGGGTCTGTCTATAAGTATTATGGCATGTACAGGGCACATAGTTGGGCTCACTTCATTTTGGAAACTAATATAATGTCTTGTAAATATTAAGTACATATCGATATTTTACTAATGTAAAAAGTAACAGCATGATATATTATTCAGCATACATTATGATCTTAGCATGACAGGATATAGGTTCAACCAGATTGTAGCGTCTCGGCTCGGTTCATTCGGGTTAATGGGTAGACCGGGGAGGGATGTTACATTTATTCACTAAAATTTGAGGAAAATCATTTGGTTTTTGTCTAAAAGTTTGAGGAGAAAGGGTAGAAGGAACATGAAGGCAACAAGAAAATCTCAACAATATGTATTTCAATATTCAAGTGATATTCATGGCATGTCAAAAGTCAAGGGTCTTGCTTTGAAGGTATACATGCATGTCAAAGAGGTAGAGTTGCAAGCATGAAATTATGAAATATAAGTGTACATCAAAGCCTAAGGCATAGGTTTAAGTGCTAAACATAAGGCCTATATTTAAGCTTAAATCCTAAAGCACGTGTCTAAGTTTAATTCCTAAAGAATGTTCTTAAGCATGTAATTAAATATTTAAATCTAAGAATGTGGTTAAATTTTCAAGCTTGAGTAATTAAAGACTAAACATGTAATTAAATATTTAGCATTTGGTCAAATGCTAACCTAAGTACGACATTAATTAATTAAATACTAACCTAAGCTTGATATTAATTAATTGAATACTAACCTAAAAATGGAATTAATTAAATAAATACTAACCTAAGCATGTCATTAATTAATTAAATATTAACCTAAGCATGTATTAAAAAGAGAACAAAGGCTACCTCGTGACACTTGACTTGTTGTGTTAGTGGAACTAGTACTTTTCCACCTCAGACCCACAAGCATCAAACCAAAACGGATCAAAATTTTCAACTAGAACAAAGTTCTTAAAAGGACCTCCAAATGGATATTTAACCCTTAAAGTATGAAGCTTTTTCCAAAAGGAAATATCTCCTAATTGATCATAAGTTAAAGTTATTCAAAATTGTGAGCAGACAATTTTTGAGGGGTATTTATAGGCAAGGATAGTGGGTAGAAGTTATGGTTGTTCAATGTAGATTAGGGAGCTAGAAAATGACTAGCCACTGACTCTGGGTGGCTAGCAGCCGCACTTGGGCTACCGCCACTAATCGGCGGTCAGGCTTGTTTCAACTTCGTTTAGACCTGTAATATATCGTTGGAAAGCTATTTCTATCTAGTTTCCAATGGCATAAAACTTGTGCTAAAATTCTATCTGTTGACTAAAAGAGTAGGCAAAAGTCATTTTTGTTAGGTTAACCTCCGATTTTCAATTGATTTGTTATTGGTTTGAACCACTTCTTTTGTAATTGATCTGTATTGATATAAGGGTGTGAAAAACAGGTGATGTGGACGTCATTATTTCTACATCAGCTTTCAACACATAAAACATAGAGTTCAAATTATCTCAATCACTTTTCTGGCTGGACAAATCAACTAGAACTAGAGATGATAATTTTACTCGACCTGATAGGTACTCGGTCCAATCTAATCTGATTTTGGTAGATTCAGGTAGTGAATAAACGAGTTTGGGACGGGTTCATGTAGTATTTTTACTATCGTATTGAGTTCGAGTTCAAGGACACGGTTACCCACTACCTCTTACCCATCTCATTAATATTTCAAAAATATCCAAAATAATCATTTTAGAAGAAAATGATATACATACACCTTTTTTAATTATAATCAATGGTATGATTATATTTTTTTATACTTGGAAAGTTCAATAAGCCGAAATAACATTGTGTACACAGTAGGGGGTGGCCCTCCCCTTTGAATAACATTCATCAAATTAGTAATAACTTTACAGTGGAGAAGACTCGAACTCGAGATCTCTCGTTCCTCACGTGAAGACCAACCAAGCCACACCTAATTTGCTAATGCTATTATTATATCTAATGTTTATATTATTTTTTATTAAGTCAAAATAATAATTTTATAATTTTACTTACTTTTTATTTTTGAAAAATAAAAAAAATTATTTTAATGCTAAACGGGTATTTAAACGGATTTGGATATTTAAACGAGTAATTATAATCATTTCCTGACAAGTTCGGGTATTAAAGATGAATTTCTACACGATTTTGGGACAAATTCAGATATCTAATTTATAATCAGGTTCGAATTCGGATAATACATTTTAAGCAGGTACTCAACATGTTGTTATCTCTAGCTAGAATCACTCAATTGCATGTTTTATAGAAGTGTATATACTCAATTGCAAGCTTTAACAAATTTATACACTCAATTGTATATATTTTCAGACGAGACATTAAAACAGAATAAATTAGAAAATTTGAACACCGAAATTATTATCATCATTCCTTTACTTTATTTTGCAGTGGGCTGACATAATTTTTATTTTTTATTGAATTTTTTCATTTGTGATATCAATAAATTTCAATTTGAACTCTACAAATCTGAGCCTTACGCTAATATCGAAAATAACGTATTAGATTTAATTTTTTTTTATTAAAAAATAAAAGATTGGAAGTTAGCAAAAAATATTGTTTTTTATTTGATTTGAAAAAAAGAATGTCCTCTTTTATTTTATATAAATACATGTATATATGGCGAATGTTATTTATATAAAATTAAATAAGAAATAATATGACAATATTAAAATAAAATATTAAAAAGTTCATAATTGCTTCTAATTCTTCTTGAAAGTACCAAATTACTATTTATCTAAATTTTTGGGTTAATTTCACTGGAATTATTTAAACTATATAATTAATCATTTAATGAAGTACTAATTTCAATTTGTAATTTAAAAATTCATAATTTTATATTTTGTAATAGTAAAATGTCTTTTCATGCAATTCAGTTTTTCCGATGACAAGAATGACATATACGACACATGGACATTTTTTATCAATTTTTTTAATTACAAAAAAAACATCTCTCTCACTTTTCCTTACCTTCTCTCTCACACACTTTTTGCAACTCTTTCTCTCTATTTCAGAATATAACTTTCTCTCACTCCCACTTTCTTTTCAAAATTGTCGCCATGGCTCTGAAAAAGAAGGCTATAGCAAATGTATTTGCCGAAAACTTCACTAGCGCCACAGCCAGTAGGTGATATCTCTTTCAAAATTTGCAAGGTTTATATCAAAACATTCAGAATCTCATGAGGGTTTTATTTCACCATCAATTTTATCATTTGAGTACCAATTCAAGCTATACACAAAATTCTCAAATCTCAAACCCAAAAATTTTAAATTTCAAGCATGTGCAATTTATCCTTAAAACTCAGAATTGATGGAAGGAAAATATGATAAAAAGAAGGATTGAATCATTTAACTACATGTCTTGATCCTCGCTCTCGCCGGAGGTGGAGCAAATCTCGCAGGAATGCAACTGTCTCTATGACCATTTGAGATGGCGATCTTAATTTGCGATAATGGAGGCCATATTACTGTTTCTTGCATTGTGCCGATCCTATTGGTGTGCTCAATCGACGGAGGTGGTGATCTTTAGCTGGAAATAGCTTGAGATCACTAGTTTACATGGCCACCTAAACCGCAGCACAGCAGAATCACAAAACTGGTGATGCAAGCTCTGTGGACACTAGAGATAGAGAGAGAGAGAGAGAGAGAGAGAGTGAGTGAGTGAGTGAGAAAAGTACGAGGGAAAAGTATGAGGTTGTTGGTTTCTATCTCTTTCTTCGCTGTCTCTTTCTTCGCTGAAAAGAGAGAAAAGAGGGAAGTTAGCGTCACTGAGACGGAAAGGACTTCAGGTCGAATGAAGAGAGAGGTAAGTATGATTTGGAGGAGAGAGTTTTTTTTAATTAAAAAAAGTACTCTCTCTCATTTATGTTCCATTACTACAGACAATGTTACTTAATATAGACTATGACCAAAATGCAAAGTTTGAACTACTTTTGATTTATTTTATTTAGAGTATTAACTTTTTAAAAAAATAAGAAAGTGGCAAATAAAGTTTAAATATTTCACTAAATATAATTGACTAATTAATTTATAGCTTTTTATCTTTCTTTACCCATTTCAAATAAAATTGCATGCATTGTTTATCCGAGTGGCCATATTTTATGACAAATTAATCATGTAAAAAATGTGAAAAAATGAGCATGAGTTATATAAGTGGAGCATAGAGATTGTTTACCAAATCTGACATGGATGCTCTATCTCTCTCTCAAAACGATCAAGTTCAAGGACCAATAGTTGAAGTGAACACATTTTCTAAAGTTATTGATGAATCAAAAGGTTGCAAGTTTAGATCAAATGGATGTGAGATGATTATAGGAAGTGGACTTTTGAATTTTTTTTTGTTGTAGTTCGGGTTCAATTTTTTAGCTATTGAATTGAACTTATTTATAAAGCTATTTGGAAAGAATTTGTTAGCCATTGAATTGACATTATTTATAAGGGTATTTGGAAAGAATTTAAAGAGACGATTGACGCTATCAAAAATTTTAGCTCCAAAAAGGTTATTTGCACCTATACTTCCTTTACTAAGTGTACACATTTTTTAAATAAAAATTAAACTTTCATTTTCCACCAAAATTTTTGCACTAAAGATGGGAGCCAAATTTAAAAGGGGTAATTATATTTTTTAGTGTTCGAACTTTTACTCTTTTTCTATTTTGATGTCTCAACCGTAAATAACAACGATTGAATGTTTAAATTTGTAATTTTTTACAATTAGGTGTCTTCAAATTTATAATTTTTTACAATTAGGTGTCTCCGGAAGACATAGCTAATCGGAAAAAATCCATTGTGCACATGTGGGATCCGTTTTTTAATACATGGTAGCTGACCTAGTGAGAAAGAGATGTAATTTTGCCAAGTAAGACGATCCTGACGTGTAAATTAGGGAAAATGTTAATTTTCTAACCTAACTCCTCTCTTCTTCTAAGCCATGTCGATCAAATTCCTAAAAAAAGAAACTCGTTTTTTCTCAGTGAAGATGGAGCACGCAGTAGAAAGGTAGTATCAACCAGACCTCCAGCATAAAGAATCTCATTCTTATGTAACTTGGTAATTTCATAATCAATGCACCAAGTGGATTCAGTTCGTCTTTGTTCTAAAGCAGGTTTAATAAAATCACACAATTTTATGTTTCCAGAAGAAAGAACAAGCACCCAAAATCCTTATAGGAGATGAGAATATCGCTCCACAAGGAAACAAAATCTACATAAAAATATAAATCCAGCAGAAAATTATTTTAAAAGAAAAAAGAAAAAAGAAATCTGATCAAAACATGCCGAAGTAATTTGAAGTTTCTAATCTACATAAAAATATAAATCCAACAGGAAATTATTTTAAAAGGAAAAAAAAAATCTGATCCAAACATGCCGAATTAATTTGAAATTTTTAGGTCAGTATTGGGCCTTTTAGTGGAGCCAACGGTGCCATTGTTCTGGTCAGTCATCTCCATAAACTGCCCACTCACAAGTGAGAAAGTTTAGATCCGCTTTACCTCTTCCTGCGTGTGGAGGAGCTCGCGCTTAGAATTCTTTTGCTCCTCTTGGACATACTCTTCTTGTATGTCGATGATCAAGCTAACGTTGAAGACACTTTAGGCGGCTATAAAGATCTTCGTCGGAGTTGTTCTGGTCGGTTAAGGGTTGTTTGGAAATCATTGGCTATTTGGTTATACCCTAACGTTAGAAGAAAGAGAAGAGGTGGGAGAGAAGCATTAAATGGAAGGCATAATAGAGATTTCTCATTGTTTCATGTAACCGTAGATTTACTTGACAAATATTCAAGCTCCTTCTCACCGAGTTTCCGCCTAATGAAAATTGGGCTCCACGTATGTATAATCAGTTTTCTGATTAGCTACGTCATCTGAGGACACTCAATTATAAAATTTTATAAATTAAAACATCAATTGTTATTGTTTCTGTTGAAACACCAAAATAGAGAAAAAAAAATAAAAGTTCAGACACTAAAAATATAATTATCCCAATTTAAAAATAGTAATAGAAGGTAAAACTTGGCGTTAATTAGGAGAAATGAGTGAATTTTTACTGTGATTCATCATTTAATTATAGGCATAAGTCATTAATTGTGTTTATGAAAATATAAATTAGCATGACATATTTGACTTTCAAAATGACTTTCCAAAATAAAACATTCAATTAATTGAAATGGTTGGGGCGCAAAAGTAGCAAAAAGTTTGATGCCTAAAAATTACAGTCTTAATTAAATTTCATAAGTATCTGTTGCAAAGTTTATTGTTGTCTATACTTAAATGGAAGCAGGGCAGCAATAATAAAAAAATTCAATGCTGGCATAGTTAAGTTCAGACACTAAAAATATAATTATCCCAATTTAAAAATAGTAATAGAAGGTAAAACTTGGCGTTAATTAGGAGAAATGAGTGAATTTTTACTGTGATTCATCCTTTAATTATAGGCATAAGTCATTAATTGTGTTTATGAAAATATAAATTAGCATGACATATTTGACTTTCAAAATAAACATTCAATTAATGAAATGTTGGGGGCAAAATAGAAAAAGTTTGGCTAAAAATTACAGTTTAATTAATTTCATAATATCTGTGCAAAGTTAATTGTGTCTATATAAATGAAGCAGGGAGTAATAAAAAAAATTCACATGCTGCATACGTGGCATATCGCTCAACAAAAAAATTGGATTACATCAAAAGGCATTTTACTGTTATGAAAATATAAGATCATGTATTTTTAAGTTATAAAATGAAGTTGGTACCCCCATTAAGTGATTATCCATATAGTTCACATCCTTCCAGTAAAATTAACTCCAATTTTTTTTTTTTTTTACCAACTAAAACGTTTTAGCTTTTCTAGAAAATATTTAATATTAAAAAATATCCTTCAAAAAACTCTCTTATTTTTTAGTTGTAATACTAAAACTTACCTGTAAAATATTAAACTCTCAATTTATAAGATTACTTAGAATTGTAAAAATTTTATTTTTAAATACAAATATAAAAATAATAAATTTGTGGTGGTAGCCAATAATAAATTGGTTGTGATGGGTGATAGCTAAAAATAGTAATTACCGATGATTTGTAAATTAATAGATTTGTTTTTATAAATTTTTCTTTCATTTAGTATATTTATCACTTTTTGGAGAATGATGTTTACCGATATTTTTCTTTCCTGGAAGACAAATTCACCTTTCTTAAAAATAATTGAATTTTTCTACTAATGAAGTATATGAATTAAATTGAAAAGTACTTGGATCTAACTTGAGAATCGACTTCCATCATTATTTCTTGTCTTGTAGGCTTTCAATCAACTTGGATCATCGGACAAAAGACCAAAGACAATATCAATCATCAAACCATTTTAAAATCTAGTTGTGGTTTGATCCCCACATTATCATATGTTCCAAAACACATAGTTAGAAAATTGCAGTATGACATGAATAAAATAATAATAATGAAGAAGAAGAATGCAGTACGACTAAAATTGTGAATTTGTAACTACCCTAGTAGTTGTAGATTATTTTATACTAACTAGCATTTCATCAAAGTCAAGGAAATAACATTTTATAACCGATTTCTCAAATTCTAACCACCGGTATAAACGGTACACCACCTAACAATATAACTAATAAAAATAATGTTTAAACTAAAGTCAACCCTAAATGCTATATAAAAAACTTTACCCGAAGAAGACATTAGTATCAGAATTTTTGCCTAATTGAACCATGTGTATTGCAGAGTAATAAACTCGGTTTCCTAGGACATTGGACAATAGTGAAGGCCCAAAATACCAATGAAACATGTATAGAAACAATTGCTTAATGTGCAATCTGAGGCTAGAGCTCTTCACAAGTAATAGTATAGTACTCTAAATACAAGCAATCTCAAAAAAGCACCATTTGTAGTTCTGCAGCTATAAACTTTTCTCTACTCCATAAAAAACAGTCCAGCGTAGTAGAAAATATGAGAAACCATAAAAAAGTTCACTAATTAAATACAAACCAGCACACCACAACCTATTTCTACGGAGTGGTCAATCACTAAAATCTATGCTTCCACTGCGAGAACTGCTGGCGTTGCGACTATGTAATGAGAGACCCCTCATGTGGCCAGTCACACCAGAACCATCAACCTTCTTTTCCTGAAAGAATCTCTCCCTCTCTACATGTTTTGCAGGGGGAGGTGGAATTGCCACAGGTGGAGGGTTCACAAGAGGTTCATGTGGCTGATCTGAACTAATAATTGGCCTTATAAGGGGACGATTCAACCTCTCTCCTGCAATAGAAGATCCAAGCAAGCCCATAGAGAGGCGCTCTTCTGAGTTCACTTCATCTACAGGCCTTGCACAAGCCTTCCCTTTTCGTAATCTGTCAAGCATTGCAAAGGGGCAGCATTTGAACCAGGAAATAGATATATAAATAGACTCCATATGTTTAACATCATTATCTGCTTCCAAACGTAGCTGATAGAACCAAAGCTTAAAGGCCCACAACTAGTTATAGAGAATTTAAGATCAGCAAACGATAGCATTGTCAGTTCAAACAATTCATTCGATCACTTCTCAATTTCTTTCTTTTGCTCCGCTCTATCTTCTGTACACACAACTATTGAGACTTGAAACATTTGCTGGAAAACTATTCGCTCTGCGGCAGTTTTAGGTTGTTCCAATTTTGCCAACTTTCCTAAATTATTACTCCTCATAGGTGGTCCAAGAACATCCAACTTTGTGAATTTCCAAACAATTGTAGTGCCCCTAGGAGATTCTAGACTGGCTGAACCTATTGGACCCTTTGCTTTCGGTGCTTGACTATGGCTGCTCCCTTCCATTGTTGATGTTGTTTTAAATCAGAAAAAACACAGGTGAGGGCATCTAACTTGGATTTTAGTGCTTCATGTCGGACTTTGTTGGCAGCTTGCTCCTCTAGGAATAATGTTAAAATTCTATTGAGTTGTTGTTGAATAGAGTCGCCCATAACCAGGCTCTGATACCAAATGTTACTGTCCCAAATTTGGATCTAGTTATGGGTCTTTGAATTAGGGATCAGGTTTGAGATGGGTATCTTAGAAGGAGTTTTCTTCCTTCTATCAATGGTGACGTTAAGAGAGAACTCTACAATCTCTGAGTTTTAGGAACTCAAAACATTTTCATAAAATTCTGCTTACATTTTCATAAAATTCTGCTTTACATTTTTCCTGATATCACAACCTTTAAACAACTAAATGCAAAGCAAAACTACCACTACTTACTAAGTAACTACCCATTACGATAGGTAACTTGCTTAACCACCGCCACTATAAGCCCATTAACAAAGAAAACCGATAATAACGATGTAACAACTTGAATAACCTAAATAAACACCGTAAAAAGCAGTAAAAACTCCCTATCCAGCAGCCCTAACATTACCACTCCCCCTCGAAAAAAGCGCTTTGTCTCAAGCGCCAAAGGGATGGATTGGGACAATGCCCCAATCCTTGCTAACCTTGTAAAAGATTGATGGCAAAACAAAATCCCTTTTACCCTCTATTTATTCTGACAGAATAAGGAGCTTGTTTATTGATGCTCTATATAATTAATATTCCTGTATATCAAATGCTCCTCTAATGTTTCCTCTTTGTCATTTCTCGGATTGCTTCTTCCCACTCCTTCCATTTCACAGCTGGCCCAATCACAAGGCAAGACCCTCTAATTTGCTAACCAATTCGATGTTTGATTATTTCTTTCTTTTGCTCGCCTCTAATCTTCTATACAAACAACTAGTAAGACACCGAAACATGTCTGCTGGAAAAACTATTCGCTCCTTGCCGAACAGTTAGTTGCTTCGAATTTTTGCCAACTTTCCTAAATTATTACCGTCCTCAGATAGTTGGTCCGAAGTAAGAAAACCTCCAACTCGTACGTGAGTATTTCGAAACAGTTGTAGTGCCCCTAAGGAGTTCGGGAGACCGTGCTGAACCTATTGGACCCTTTGCTTTCGTGCTTTGACTTTCAAAGCACTTGAAGAAGTCAGACCCCTTCTTTGTGGATCCAAGTCAAAAAAGACATTGGCATCCAATTTGGCCATGAAGTTTGCTCAACCTTCTCATTACGGTCTGATTGCCTGCTGCTCGGATAAGAGTAAAATTGAAGAGTTTGGTAAGCTGGTCTTGAAACAGAATTCGCCCAATAACTGTTGGGCTCTGATAACCAATTGTTATGGTCCCAAATTGGATCTAGTTATGGGTCTTGAATTTAGAGGATCGGGTTTGAGATGACTAGTTCTTAGAAGTGAGGTTTTTTCTTCCTTCTATCAGTGGTTACAGACTTTGAGAGAAATCTGCAATCTCCGTTAGAGCTCGCTTAAGAGGAACTCTCAATCTGCTGGAGTTTTAGGAACTCAAACATTTTCATAAAATTCTGCTTACATTATTTCCTGATATCACCAACCTTTCTTAAACAACTAAATGCAAAGCTAAAACTACCCACTGTACTTACTAATAACTACCCATTACGATAAATAACTTGCTTTAACCACCCCACTAATTACCCAATTAACAAAGAAACTGATGAATAACATGATAAACACTGAATAACTAAATAAACAACACCGTAAATAGCAGTAAAAACTGCCCTTAAGTCCAGCAGCCCTATTAACATTACACTCCCCCTCGAAAAACGTTGTCCTCAAGCGCAAAGGGATGATGACATGGCAATCTTCCAACTTGTAAAAAATGTGATGCAAACAAAAATCCTGTTTCCCTCTATTTATTCTGCAAATAAGGAGCTGGTTATTGTGACTTCTATTTAATTAAATATTCCTGGTATCAAATGGCTCCTCTAAGTTTCCTCTAGTCATTCTCGGATTGCGTTCTTCCCCACTCCCTTCCCATTCACAGGCTGGCCCAAATCACAAGCAAGACCTCTAATTGGCTAACCAATGATATGGTTTGATTGATTTCTTTTCTTTTGCTCCGCTCTATCTTCTATTACAAACAAAACTATTAAGAACTCGAAAACATTTGCTGGAAAAACTATTCGCTCTGCGGACAGTTTTAGGTTGTCTCGAATTCTTGCCCAACTTTCCTAAATTCATTACTCCTTCATAGTTGTGGTCCAAGAACCTCCAACTCTGTTGAATTTCGAAACAGTTGTAGTGCCCCTAGGAGTGTCTAGACCGGCTGAACCTATGGACCCTTTGCTTTCGGTGACTTGACTTTCAGACTTGAAGAAAGTCGAACCCCTTCTTTGTTTGGGATTCCAAGTCAAAAACATTTGGCATCCAATTTTGGCATGAAGTGCTCAACCTTCTCATACGGGTCTGATTGGCCTGCTGCTCGGATAAGAGTAAATTGAAGAGTTTGGTAGCTGGTCTGAACAGATTCGCCATAACTGTTGGCTCTGATACCAATTATGGTCCCAAATTTGGATCTAGTTATGAGTTTTGAATTAGGGGATCGGTTTGAGATGACTATCTTAGGAAGGAGTTTTCTTCCGTCTATCAGTGGTTACAGACTTAGAGAAATCTTGCAAATCTCCGAGAAGCTCAATTAAGAGAGAAAACTCTCAATCTCTGGTTTAGGGTACAATCTCTGAGTTTTAGGAACTCAAAACATTTTCATAAAATTATGCTTACATTTTTCCTGATATCACAACCTTTTAAACAACTAAATGCAAAGCTAAAACTACCCACTACCCACTAATAACTACACGTTATGATAAATAACTTGCTTAACCACCCCACTAATACCCATTAACAAAGAAACTGATAATAACATGATAAACACTGAATAACTAAATAAAAACACCGTAAATAGCAGTAAAATTACCCTAAGTCCAGCAGCCCTATAACAGAGCCACTGGTCATCATACTAAGTAAGTTCGGAAAGTTTTTTGCTGGTTCCCAGATAGGGACCAAAAGCAGTTGGTGGGTTAAAACCAAAAGAGCCTTGAGGTGGTAAACTTATCTAAAAAACCCTACAATTTAAAGAACTAACAAGCCTTGGGACCCAAATACAAGACCACTAATTTCAAACAAACGTAAGCACGCAGATAACAAAGTCGCTCATTAATCATAAAAACCTTAATTTATTTACTTACCTTATTTTTATACATATAATCTAGTTACAAATATAACAAGTATGACCAGTATCCTATCCAAGAATTATAAAGAGTGGGATTTCTGATAAACTATAGGGCTACTTGTTTTGGATAACTAGTTAATCGTATTTGACGGGAAGTAAGAGAATGGATGTGTTGGCATGGCAATTCAAAACTTTTAGGTGGTTTTTCTGAAAAGAATATAAGTTACTGTCCGCTGGAGATCCCACAAGTAACCTACATCCAAAATAAGAATTTTTTAAGAGCTATTTTTAGGCTTATATCCAAGAAGTATAAAATACATATTATGTAACGGGTTTCAGAGTTAGAAACAAATACATCTCAAGAAAATAAAAATAGGAAGGATTTCTAAGATAAGCCTAAGGCTAAATGATAAAAAAAAGCCTGAACTTTGGTTGTGTTTGCAATTTTAGTCAATTCTTTTAATTTTGGCAACTAATGCAGTGAATTTAATTTTTTGTTGCAATTATAGCCTCCACCTGTGTCCATTACAAAGTTGCTAGTATTACTACTAGTTGGATCCATATTTTGACACATCAAAAAAAAAAAAAAAAAAAAAAAAAAAAAAGGTAAATGATCGAAAAAAGGCCTAAACTTAAAAAAAAAAAAAAAAAAAAAAAAAAAAGGTAAATGATCGAAAAAAGCCTAAACTTTAGGCTTTTTTGCAATTTTAGCCAACTATTTTAATTTTGGTAAATTTCATAAATTATTTCATAGTACTTGCATATACATACATAGCATATAGTTAATTATAATATAGTTTAATCATGTAAAATTTAGATTTTCATGAATGATTCTCCAAATTACAACCTATCAATTCATCATGTAAATTTTTTATATAAAAATAAGAATTTAATTCCAAAATATTAAAATACTATTAAAACACACAAATACAATATATATTTTCCATTTAACTTAAATTTGAAAATTTTGAACTTAAAAAATAAATTATATTTTTAAAAATAAATAATTATAAAAATTAAATTTTTTAAAAAATCCAAAAGATTGAAAAAAATCATGGCATCCAAGGGCAAAATTAAAAGAATTGGCTAAAACTGTAAAATATACAAAGTTCAGGCTTGTTTTATTTACTTAGCCTTTTTTTTCTTTTTTTGCTAACATGGAGTGGTAGCGTAGCAATAATATGTCAAAATGTGAACCCCCACTAACAGCAACGTCAACAACTTCTAATGGACATAGGATGGAGGCTATAATTGCAACAAAAAATTAAGTTCAAAGCCTCAATTGAAAAATTAAAAGAATTGGTTAAAATTGCAAAAATGGTCAAAGCTCAAGATTTTTTTGATCATTTAGCCTAAGCCTAACTAGCATACAATTCAGATTTACAAGCATATTCTTTAACCCCATTGTTATAGATGCATTTGTGGGCAGAAACTACATGAGATGTGTGGCAAGTGAGGTGCGGAATTTATGCAGCAATATCTTCCTATTTAGTATTTCAATATTATTCTTATCTTTGCTCGAGTTAGTTTCCTTTTATGATTCTTTAATTAGGATCCCTTATGTTAGAGAAGCAACGACAACAGTCTGCAATTTAGTCTTCCTATTTAGTAGTTTCCTATTTTATATTCGGTACGAGATCAACTATTTAGTAGTTTCCTATTTTTCCTATTTTTCTTTTTGGTAGGAGATCTGCTATTTAGTAATCTTTCTATTTAGTTGTCTTTTGATTTAGTAGTCTTCCCATTTAGTAGTTTCTTATTTTATTTATTTATGGTAGGAATCTCATTCTAGTAGAATTACTTTAATTAGTACTTGTATTCCTCTATAAATTGGAGGCTTTAATGATGAAATTAAACAAGCAGAATTATTTTCAATTAAATTGGGATTTAGACTCTTTCTAACGAGTCTAAGGTTAGAGCTCTCTTTAACAAGCCTAAGGTTAGAGCTCTCTTTAACGAGCTTAAGGTTAGAGCTCCCTTTCAATGAGCTCACAATTTTTCAGCAACAATAGGTTCAGGAAAGAATTGCGGTAAAACAAAAACTTTAGCTTCTGAATCAGATTCTATTGTTAACAGGCCCGTGACGAGATTCTGGTTGCATAAACATAACACCTTACTAGTAGGAACTTTTTTTTGGTTATAGTAGGACCCCTCCCTCATGAGTAGGAACTTCTATTTCTATTACAATTCCCTTTTTTGCTGTAAGCCTCTCTTATATAAGAGGCACCTCTTAATTCAATAAGATACTCAAACAAGATTATCATCAATTCACGAAATGAAGACTCCCTCTATCCTAACGAGTCTTGAAGTGGAGAACTCCCTCAAACAAGTTCTTGTTTTTATCCATCATAGGCAGAAACAGGAATGAGTCAAGTCCAAGGCTTCAGCCTCAGAAGATTTCTCCATAGAAAGACCTGGGATCCTAGACTAGGGCACTTAACACTCAACTGCACCCCTATTTGACCCTTGCAAGCACTCCACTGGCCTCAATATTGGCTGCAGTGTAAATTTCCACTCAATGCATTCACTACTACGTCTATTTAACTGAAACAATTCTAAAAGTTGATATCATGATGCTGTTCAAGAAACTGAGATATAAAGAGAATGATCTGTGCTACACCAATATTTGTGAAGTCATGAGTCATACATGCAGGCATCTGTAACCAGTAACCAAGCTGAGACCAGCACTGCTTCTATCCTATTAACTCAGAAAGTAATCTTACCGAGAAGTCATCACAAGATGCATTACTCGCTGCTTTTGGAATGAACACTGTTCCACGAGATCAAGAGTAAACTCATCCTTTGCTCCCTAGAAAATAATGTTAGTTTAGGATCGAATATTTTGAAGCCATCCTTAGTGCTTATTGCAAAGCCACTGAATAAACACAATAATATTAAATAAACAAAGAAAAGAATAGATTTAAAAATCTGGAAATTTAGGCATACTGCTGTACCTATTATCTTGATTGAAAGAGGCGCAGAGAATGGAAGAGTTAGAGGACTGGCTAGTCATTGTTGGAATTGTTGGTGGGATTGTTGGGGAAGAAGATAAAAATTTAACTTACTTAAATACTTTTAGGTCCGGCTTGAACTAGAAGAGAACAGAAAACGGAATGTATCGAAATGGACAGCGTTATGGGGGATGATGGTTAGCCAGATCGTGAGCCGTTAATGTATTCTGTGATTGGCTAGATCCTGACTGATTAGAAAAAAAAAAAAAAAAAAAGCCCATGCTGTCAAGTTTCTGTGAACGACAATACATAATGCTTTAATAGTATTATCTATAGGATGCCATAAAGATTTAAATGTTTGAGTGGACGACGCAATCATTGCAATAAGTAACCTATCCCTGAAGTATATTGTTTTTCAAAGATTTAGATCTATGTCCAAGTTGTACTCATCAAAATTCAAGCGAACGTTAAGAAATTAAATATGAAAACATTAGAGAAACGTTAATACTTAAAAATAACAAACAGAAGATGTCTGCCTATGGAATTATATCTAGGTCCAAAAACAGAATATGGAAAAGATGACTGCATTTAAGTACCTCTGGATTTTGAGAATCAACAGCATCAAGGACTTCTTTGAAAACCTCTAGGACATTACTAGCCTTCTGAATAATACTGCACAGGATAAAAACATACCTGGAATTGGCATCATTTCCAGGAAAAAAGTAATAAACAATTGCAAACATTTTTCAGCAAGTACCAAAAAGGTTGCTACACATAATACCTAAATAGAAACAAAAACTCGAGATGGTAAAACATTCACAATAGTTCATTTCCCAAATAAGCCATCGCAAACATAGCCATAATCTAAGAAAATTATAAAAAAATATATTATTTTTTTTTTATAAGGAGACAGTCAGAAAATACAAATAAGCTAAAACAAACGGTTGAATATATAAACTCACCCTTGAACTTTTACAACTTTAACCTTGTGGAATCCTGAACGTTGTGGATGACCTATTTTGCACTTAAACTTGTAAATTTTGGTAACATTGCACACCTTTCCAAACTAACAATAAATTTTTTCAGGGTTTTTTCTCTTATAAGGAAAAATATTTTGATATATAGTTAGCATAACTTTAGAACAATAATTTTTACATTTTTCAACCACTTAATAGGTGTTTAATTGATCTAATTTTGCAAGTTGAAGTTTTTAATAAGTGTAGTTTTATAAATTGAAGTATTTGATGGGTCAAAGTAAAAGTATAGAGTGCTACAAAATTAAAGCAACAAAATTTAGAAATGAATTTTTGTATTCAGTCCTAAAACAACGGCAAAATGGGGTTCAAGTCTCTCCTAGCAACAATTAAACAACCTTGAAGGCAACACCAAGAAATCTAGGAAACCTTTGGCCTTTTATAAGCAAGATAGGCACGCATTTCTACGAGCTGTTAATGCAAGGTGAGTTGCTTTTGAGTCCTGGCACGAGTCATGAAAACGTGTGTGCAATTACTATTAATATAGTAAGAGAAGAAATTTTAAGAAAGAAGAATAAGAGATTTTTGGAAAAAAGAAAAAACATGTGTATATATATGTGTGTGTTTGTGTGTGTGTCTGGGTATATAATTTCGGATCTCCATGGTGAGAAGGATATGGACAGGGTTCCCTTCAAGGGCAGGGAGCACACTTCCAGTTTGCTAGCAAGGACAAGTCCGCCCTGTCACCACCCCGATAATAATAGAGGAAAACGGGGATCAAGGAACCTGCCCCATCCCCATCCCTAGGTGGGATGTTATGGAAGGTGTTCATTCACTCATGCAAGCCCATGGAACTCCTGAAATAAATGTCCTATTATTTTTTCCCTTTTACTGAATGTAAGGCAGTGGAGGGCACTTGTATTTTATTTCTATGAAGATGTTGGTCAATGAGAACAGCTTTCATCTAATTCCCAATTTTTATACAATATCAACTTTGCATGATTCTCCACTTTTAAGTTTAATTATTTATTTATTCAACATATTTACTTTGCTCCGAAGTTGAACGCAACCATGGATTGTAAACATATTGAGGTTAAGAGTTTATATATATGAAGAGAACAATTAGATCTATCACATCAATACAATGTCATTACTAAATTAACTAAGTGTGTTGCTCCAATTCTTCACTTTAACCTTAATTCTCACTATCAAATACATAATAGATTATGATTTTCCAAATAAATGAAAATTTATAAAAAGTTTACTAAGCGGTGTCTCGTTTGGCTACTTACTTTTAACTTTTGACTAAAATGTATTTCTAACTTATAAGCTAATTCAAGAATAAGTAATTAAGTGTTTGAAAAAACTATTTAAAAGTAGCTTTGAAGTAATTGAAGTGTTTGGTTGATGGCTACTTAAAAGTAACTTAATTTACCAAAATTATCAAAATGGGTATGTTAATTAAATTGGGAGTCAAATAGTTTGTCAAAAACAAAGGTAATGTCACTATTCTTAAAAATTATTAGGATATTATAATCATTAGTTGGTCAAAGAGTAGTTTTAATATAAAGTAGGAAATCATAAGTAAGGGGTACATTAGTCATGACTTCTAACTTATTTTAAGCAGTTTTTTTTAACTTATAAGCCCAACCAAACATCATTCTGCTTATGACTTTCTACATAAAAATTGGTTTGACAAACTTAAAAGCATAACCAAACACCCTCTATGTCCGTGCCAAAAAATGGAATATACCCAAGTCTAGGCAACATAGTCCAAGAAAAACAATCACATTCTTAGAACTAAATCAATTTTAAACCAAAAAAATGAATCCACAATCTTGAAGTGGAGAGTACATTATGAGAATTATAATATTCAACTATACAAGAAAATAGTTATTTCTGGCAAGGCAAGTGTGTTTTAGTATTAAATTAATTGAACATGTACCTTCATTAGGAAAACACGAGATAATGCAACATGGATGAGCATAGTAGGAAACAGTTAAGTAAAAAGATACCTAGATTCAGGAACAACTTGAGCCTCTGCTTTTTGAGCAACCTCTTCATGTCTAGAGGCAACAAGCTCACCGTTAAGTGTACTTCTTTTATTTGATTGTGAAGTGGGATTGTTTGTTTGTGTTTCCGGAGGCCTTTGAGGAAATTGTACTCCTGCACTCTGACAGTACAGTTTAAGGCAAGCCAATTTTTAGAAGTTAAATAGTGACACAACAATGCAAGTGCTTCACAGCTTTTAATTACAGTACTGTGAGCTTATAATGAGCTAAAAATTAGCACAACAATGTAAGTATTTCAAAGCTTTACAATTTTATTAGAAGGCAAATAAGAGGAAAGAAAAATTCACAATCCTTCACATGATTTGATATGGTCGAACTAATGTGTTCAATGTAGTACTAGTGAAAAATAATAGAACATGAATGAAGCTTTGTCTTACAATAATAAATCAATAGCTAATAAATTAATGAAAAAGGTATGCAATTATTAGGATTCAATGGTAAGCATATATAAATGGGTTCTGAATGGCTGATGCATATAAAGCTGTACATATCAAACCAAATTCATCTGTTTGCACCCTAGGAAAGAGTAACAGGAAGAGTTCAACCCTTCACCGAAGAGCACTAAAAATAGAGAGGACGCGCAAATCGTTACATATCTCAAAAGAGGCGCACGGGCAAGACCTAGAGCTAACCCAAAATTGAAAATGGAAACAAACAGAAAAAGGCACAAAATGAAATTGAAACTGAAAAATGGTGAGATCCATTTTGTGAAATGAGAGAAAAAGCTCAAAGACACTCGGATAGTTGATAAATGAAGAAAAGATAACTAAAATATGAACTCTTAATTTTTTTCTTTTTTGGAGAAAGATATAAAGGTGTAGTCTTTTTCAAGGACTTGTAGGAAAGGATATGTTTTGGCATGTGAAGCAGAAAAGACACTGAAACAGAGACATTTTAGCGAGTGCAGAGAGGGAGAGAGAAGGAGAATTGAGAAGTAGCAGGTGATGAAAAAAGTGAGAAAGGGAGAGGACAACTATACAAAAAAAGAGAGAGGGGGGGGGGGTTAAAAAAATATTTACTAACGAAAACGAAAAAATCCATTATGCTGACTACAAACTAAAGTCTTTTGAGTTGTCATAAACTAATTTAGCATGACGTGTAACTTAGAGTGAACAGGGAAATTCCTTTCTCAGAAGAATATCTTCAGGAATGAAGTGTGACCCAAGATTTGCTGGAACCTGATAATTGCTACTAAGAATGAAAGAAGGTACAAGATGATTTCAACCTCAAAACACATGCCATAAATGATTGCAGCAAAACCATACATATTTCTGACTTATCCACCATATGCAATAATTCAACAAATTTAGATGGTGTTAAAGAAAGGTAAGGATAAGAGGTTATAATGTTCCATACATGCACCTACCACCAAATCATAATATGCAGAATAATACTGAGGGAACTTTCCAGAAGAACCACCAAGTGATGTCTGTGTAGCATCCAGAAGAAGAAATATTCTCTCTCGTACAGGCAAATCTGTCTGACAAAAGGAAGATGGATTACTTAAATATAAGGGCATAAAATAGCCAAAATTCACTGTATTATATGTAGAGTAAAACTTCCACCTTTTTCTTGACTATCTTCACAAGAATAGGCAAAACCCCTGTATCAATCACCTCTTTATGAACAGGTTCTCCGATATTGTTCATCAGCATCTCTAACAACTGCAAAATTGAAAGAAACAGTACATGGTTTGCCAGGAAGGCAAAGGCCATTCAAATCAAGGAACAACAAAAGGAAGATAACCATCTGTTCAGCAAACACGCATGCAGATTCAACCAATTAACAATAAAAAACTGCTTAAAAGTCTAAATCAAAAGCATAGTACCCAATAGATTTCATTGTATAAAGCAAGAGAATTAACCCACCATCACTGCATATAGCTGAGCATTTGGGTTCTTACTCCCCAGCCGTTTCTTAATAGCTTTAACAACATCTCTAGCTTGTCTGTGGATTAGAATCAATGAAACCATGTCATGGAAATGTTAAACCAACTCAAGTGACTAACTTGAACAAACCAAATTTAGTTTAGTCCCGTTCATCCCCATGAATTCGAAACAATCAAGAAGGTATATATATAATAACTAAAACATAACAGAAAATAAAGAATCAAACCACAAAAATACATAGTTCTATAGTAATATCTTCTTCAATATTGCAGTTATACCTCTGATCACGGCCTACTAATTCACAAATTTCAATATTCTTAGTCCAATCCACTTCAGGTAGTTTATCACTTGTTGCCAAATTGACGAGCTCAGCTGCCATCTGCTGCTAAATAATTAAACCTTCTAACAACTCCTAAATCAAAGAAATTCAGATCTCAAATACCAATCCCAATTAGACGCAAATATTGAAACTGAAAATCATTACGAACGAAAACGAAAAGAAGTTACCTGTTGCAATGTAGAGGAAACAGACTAAGAACTGATGAATACAGTAAACGGAAGAACAGCTTCAACATTTGAAACCAACAGAGTTATAGGGAGAAGAAAGATGGAGATCAAAACCGTCTTTGTTTTCTTTTTTTCTTTTTTGTTTTTTGTTTTCCTTTTTGCTTTTTCCAGGCTGTGGTTTTCCTAAATCTAATAGTTGAGACTGATAGTTTTTAATATGAGTAACCTTTAGCAGAGAAGATGAATTGGAGAGTGAGTTTTGTTTTGTTTTGTTTTGTTTTGTTTTTGTTTATTTTAGAGTAGAAATGTAAAACACTGGCACGAGGGTTGTCCCCAATTAAAGCTAAAGAAGTAAGCTTCTCCGGTAAGGTTCTTTAGAGAATAAGTTATGATGTACCCAGCTCTCACCTTCTGTCTTGTTTCCTTCAACCATTGTCTGCCACGTGGATTAATTGAAAACCCATAAATTGAAAATGGACTCCCACCGTTTAAACTAGAATTTAAAAAAAAAAGAGTTTAAACTAGAGATTTACTATTATTATTATTATAATAAAAAATAGTATCCAATTTAAAAGTTTAATTTAAGTGAGAGATTCTTGCTTTGTCAATTTGAAAGCGTCTTGCTCTATATATGTGATGGCAATTGAGAATTAAGCAATTGGTGATCGAATGGATGTACCTATAGCAGCCTCGGCGTTATCAAATGATAAGGAGGAAGAAATATAAGTGCAATCTTGAGGTAATCCTGTTGAAAAATTAGACTATAGTCTACGTCTGTTTGGTTGATTATTGATAGATCGAAAGGTCAATGATGAGGTCATGAAGGTTATATGGCTGCCTAGTTAAGAGCATCAATGAGATTGATCATAGATCGTTTCTTGTTCAGTTATTTCATAATGTGGATTTTGAATAGGATATGAATAGAGTACCTTGGTCTATAAACAATCACTTGTTTATTGTGGAAAAGATTAAAGCAAATGAAGATCTAAAGCAAATCCTCCTTATTAACTCGTGTTTTTGGGTACAAGTACATAACCTATCAGTGGGGGCTATATTTGAAGTCGTGGCCAAATGGGCTAGGGACTTCATTGATTCCTACTTAGAGTAAGATTTGGACAACAATAATGAATTTCGACATTCAGAAATGTGTATCTAGGTTTGCATAGACGTAAATAAAGTGTTAAAACGATAGAAGAAAATGAGGAACTCAAATGGATGGGCTAAAATAATTAATTTTAAGTTGAATGGTTGCCCATATTTGGCTTTCTCTATGCTTGTCTGGGACACAATGCCAATTTTTATGAAAAATAATTTATTTTGCTGAAAGGGTGGTTGAGAAGGCATAGGGATAGTGGCTCTAAGTACCGACACTGTTGGCTTTAATGTAAAGAGATGATCTCCAATGGTTTAGAGATGTAGCAGAAAATTAGTTACGTAGTGACATAGGATTTTCTACTGAAGATTTAGCGAATTCTAAGGAGAAAAATACGAGACTAGATAGCAGTAATTTAGGAGATTTTTAATTTTGAATATAGGATGCATCAATTCTATATTTGACAGGTTATTTTAAATGATTTGACCGTGCCACAATAGTCATTATATGAGTCGTCTACTATAGATAAGGAAAACAACATTGTGGACCTAGCAGAAGGAAAAAAAAAGGCCAAGTCTAGGTAAAGGTTCACTTATGCAAATTGATGCATCGATGTTTAGTTTGCAATTAGTTTGTAGACATAGAGCTTCAAATGGAAAAAGTCTAAATTGAATAATCTCTTAGCTCAAGAAGAGATTTTTTGGCATCAACATTTTAAAGTTATTTGATGAAAAAATGTGGACCAGAATTATAGATTATTTCATGCCACTACAACACAACGTGCTAGAATTAATTTTATTTTGGCTTATTTGATGATTCTGGTGTTTAGTAATGAGACTTGGGTATGGAGGAAATTATTCGCGACTACTTTGTGGAGTTGTTTGCAATTTGCAAACCAATTATGCTTTGGTTGTGAGTCAGATTAAAACTTCTATTTTGCCAGTTCATAATGATTTGCTTCTAGCCATGTTATCTGACGATAAATTTAAGAAAGCTCTTTTCCAAATGCATCAGAATAAAGCTTTTAGACAAGATGGTGTGAACGCTTATTCTTATTAGAAATTTTGGCATATTGTTGATGCAAATATGATATACAGTTGCATAGAGTGGTTGAATACAATTTTGTCCTGCTTCTTAAAAAATACAATTGTAGTTCTTATTCCTAAAATTGATCAACCTTAGACAATTAAAGATTTTAGACTTATATCACTTTGCAGTGTTATTTACAAAATCCTTGAAAAGCCCTAACTAATCGGTTGAAGAAAATTTTGGATAAAATTATTTCTATTTCTCAATTGGATTTTGTATAGAGCAAACTTATAATAGATAATATTCTTGTGGTTTTTGAGCTTCTTCATTTTATGAAATGGAAAACATTAGGCAAGAATGAGTTTTAGCTGCATTAAAAATTGATGTTAGTAAGGCGTTTGACCGTATGGGTTGGAGCTTTCTAAAATGAGTTTTGCTTTTAAATAACTTATTATGCTCTCCATTTTCTTAGTCTAGTTTTAAGTGTGCTTCAATGGCAAGATTATTGAGTCTATTATTCCTAAACATGGTTTAAGACACAGTGGTCATATTTATTTTAATTTATATTAGAGGAATGCATAAAGGGCTGGAGATATTTATGGATGCCAAATTAAAAAGGGTGCATTGATAGTGTCTCACTTATTATTTGCAAACATTATCTTTTTCTTCTCTGGGCTAATTAAAGTTCATAAGGTTCAAAAAATTAGGTATTCTCTTTGATTCTAATGTTCTTAGCTTTACCCGGTTACTTATCTTTGATATCCTTAATGTTTATATGCCCCTTAGCTATGGTCATTATTTGGTCTCCCATCTACTATTAGGCGAAGTAAGAAAATTGTTTTTAATTATATTTTGGATTAATTATGGAAGAAACTTCAATGGTGGAAAAGTAGATTTTATCAAAAATATGAAAAGACCTAATTAAAAGTTTGTAGCCCAAGATGCATCGGCATATTGTGTAGGTGTTTTTCTTTACCTCTCTCTATTATTTGGAGCTTAAAGAAATGATGAATGCATTTTGATGGGGTTCTAAAAGAGAAAAGAGTGAAAGTATTCATTGGCTTGCATAAGAAAGGATGCGTAATACTAAGTTTGATGGAGGAATAGGTTCTAGAACCTACACAACTTTAATTTAGCATTATTGCAAAACAAGGTTAACACACAATCAACCAAAGTACTCTTCTATTAGAAACTAGTCGAAAAATCACGTTTCGCGTGTGAGTATTTAAATATTATTTTAATAATTATTGTAGTTAATTCTATTATTATTTTTAGTAAATTATTATAAGTTATCAAACTTTTAGGAAGAAACATAAAATTATACTTGAAACAAATTAGTAATGAAAATATCAAAATGATTTATAATAAAGAACATTGTAACATTATTTGCAATATATAAATATTTTTAAATATGTTCTTGGTTAATTATACATTTTAGTTATATATAAGTAAATTTTTTTTTTTTTGAGAAAGGTAAACAACATTATTGTTAAGCTAATAATGTAAATGATCAAACTCGATGTATACAACAAACTAATTAACATTTTATTTATGATTGTAGCAATTACAACACTACTACATATCAATTGCAAGTATATTATACATATCAATAATTTTTTTATAGATTCTGCAAGCTAACATATAATATTTCAAACTTCTAATTATTTAATAATCCATCTCTCTCTCTCTCTTATATATATATAGATTACTTTTCCTTTAATATTTAAAATATTCTTTTTAAAAATAAATTGTTCAATTAAAATATATAGATAATGAAGAAATAACACACATTTAATTTTCAATTATAATTTTCAATTATAATTTTCAAATAAATTGTTCAACCAAGTACTTATAAGAGCTCACATAATTATATTTAATTTTCAATTATAATTCTAGGTACCATTTTAGACACAATAACACACATTTCAGTCAAAGCACTATATTAAATTATAGGCGTACCTGATTGTGCATCCCGACCCGGCAAAGCGATCCTAAGAGGGCGGGTAGAGCGAAGCTCCTGGCTAGCTTCTAGGATGGCAGGCTAGCTAGGGTAAGCGATCCTAAGAGGGCGGGTAGAGCGAAGCTCCTGGCTAGCTTTCGTAGGATGGCAGGCTTAAGCTAGGGTATGGAATGCGGAACAAGAATGAATTGGAATCATATATCGAAAAGGGGGAAACTAATCATTAGAGGCGCCTTTTGGTGGAATGGTTGGAGAGTTTGGAAGAATTCCAGGTTAAGTGTATCGCTTAACAGAAATCTTAGGATGGGTGAACCTCCTGGGGAAGTTTTCCTATTTCACTTGGCCGGGACAAAACGTGCGGGTCCTTGCCATCTTGTATGGGCCGTGACAGTTGGTATCAGAGCCGGACTTCTTCAGTAGAATGTATGGTTCGAGGACGACCAGCGAAAGCTGGTGGGGCCTGTGACAATCCTGACCCGGCAAGCGATCCTAGAGGGCGGTATAGAGCGAAGCTTCCTGGTAGCTTTCTAGGATGGCAGCTAGCTAGGGTAGTGGAATGCGGACAAGAAGAATGAATTGAATTCATATATCGAAAAGGGGGAAACTAATCATTAAGGCGGCCTTTTTGGTGGAATGGGTTGGAGAGTTTGGAAGAACTATGGTTGGAGAGTTGGAAGAACTCCAGGGTTAAGCATGCTCGCTTAACAGAAATCTTAAGATGGGTGACCTCCTGGGAAGTTTCCCATTTCACCTGCGGGACAAAACCCTGCGGGTCTTGCCATCTAGTATGGGCGATTTGGCTTAATCCAAAGCGGACAATTCCTCTGGTGATTAGAGTCGGGGCGTGACACTGATTGCATCTTCAACCTGCTCATTCACTTAGAGACACCTAGGTCCTATATGATCCACTAATCATAGTTTAATATCAACACAATTATCCACATAGATGGTTTAAATTCATTCATTCAGCTCTTAACACAAAGAAGCCAACTCCACTTTGACTCATATAAGTATCATGCATGTAACTCCAATTGAGCATCCTAGAGTTTTCCATATTCAAATTGACTCAAGGGATAACATTAAGGAACATTTAATTTCATTCTTAGACCATCAATTATAAATTTGAGATAGGTTAGACGCTAACCCCAAATCATGCTTTATTTTCAATTCAGAAACCCTAATTGCTTTTACTTCTAACTACCCTCATATAAAGTCAAATAAGATGTTACTAATGATCAATCATGCTTTATAATCAACCTAAAATGTCTAATTAATTTTAATTTAGACTTACATAGGTTTGGCCGGTCTTCATTAGTTAGGGTAGAAGCATTCTTTTAATGATTAAAGCATATCTCTTAGTCATACATACTTCCAATTTCATTAATATACCTTTGGTTCACCTTACTAGACCTTAATCATCTTTTCCCCCAAATTCAACTTCACTACATTATCAAAACCCTTTCCATTGCTATTGACAGTGATTTTCGCAAGTATACGAAATCGCGGCAAGTAATACAGAGTGAATAGAGTATCGTCTCCACAAGGATTGTAAATCAAGTACCAAAATTTTGTTAACTATTATTATCTAAACGGCAATAAGAGAAATTTATTGTAAGAAAAATAAATACTTAACAAGAGAACAAAAATAACTCAAGCAACAATATTTGAATATTTGAAGGAAAGAAATCAAGGATTTAAAAACTACTAGGGACTTTGATTTCACTTAACTCTATCCAATTTATTTTATTAGTTTATTAATCAATTTTAATTGCTCAAGTCGGGGAAACAACCCTAGAATCACTAACAAGCTTTCCCGATGTTTTGTTAGCTATTCTAATCCAATTTAATTACCTATCTTCCAATAGTATAATCAACCATGAATTAAATCATTAAGTTTTGTGGTTTGTTTTGTAAATTCATAACCTAAGGTCATTAACTTATGAAAACCCCCAATGAGTCAAACCATATAGCTTCCGCATCAAGTTATTATTCTCATGTATTATTCTCGAATGTAATTTATTAATTGTTTCATATCAAAAACCTCTTCTCCCGTATGATAAATTGAAATAAATCAATCCAGAGAAAAACTTTGCCCTGGGAAGCATTAAGTTCAATAATAAATTATACTTTACAATGAAAAGCAAGATCTAATAATTATAAATTGAAAAAGAATTAAGCTACAATCGAAATCCCAGTATGAGGAATTTAGGTTCGACATAGGTAATTAAAATAAAGTAATTAAATAAAACTCAACAATACTTGAATAAACCTTCATAATCAATATGAATAATGAAAAGTAAAACAAGATTAAGAGTTTAGAAATAAAAATTAGGCAACTGATATGTGGACGGCTTCCTTGAATCTTGGCACGAATCTTGAATGCTTGTAGTTTTTGATAAAGAAAGATAACAATGTGCATGAATTATCAAGGACTCGAGAGATATATTTTACAATGAATGGCCCCTCTTTTTATATAGACTTCCTGGAAGAAAATTCGACTCCGTTTAGGAAACAAAATCCTATTAAATACGAAATCTTTTTGGAGATCACAAAACTGTTTAGGCTTTGGATTTCTTCTCAATTATGACTCTTCCATCTTCCTAAATAGGATTAGATCTTGACTTGCATATCAGGAAAATATCTGGGGTGGGCCCATATAAGTTATAGAGACTGGCCGGCTTTCTTAATTCAAGACAACATTATAGCACGGTCACACCGTGCTAGAGTTTGAGTCTCCACTTGATTTTCCTTAAGTTCAGCACGAGCGTGCTAAGGTGCACGGGCAGGGTGTGCTAGGGCCTGAGTGTTTTGCTTTCTTTTGCTCTTTTCTGTGCTAAAAACCTGCAAATTTCTTTAAGAATAAGTGGATTATGATTCAAGGAAGCTTTTTATGATTCAAGGGGAACTTGAATAAAAATAAATAAAACAAAAATAAAAATTAGTTAAAATGATTAACAATTACTAAAAATTCCTAATAAGAATAACATAATAAAGATACCAAATAAAAAATAACACTACAAAATCCCCATCCCCAAACTTAAACCATTGCTTGTCCTCAAGCAACAAAACTAAAAACAAAAGAAAAACATAAGCTAAACAAACTAACAAAGCTAGCTTACTATGATTGGAGATAATTATTCACAATTTTCAAAAATATATCAAAATTATTAACATATGAATAAATCAAGTGTTTCCTATGCTAATTATATTCAAGCAAAAATTCAATTTTCGATGAAACACATTCCTTATTTTAAACATAAGTTAACAAGATTTTCAACACCAATAATTATCCAACCTATGATAAGTAGAATATGAATTTTCACAATAATTATCCAACCTATGATAAGTAGAATATGAATTTTCACAAACTATTTAACCTTTGATTAAGATGTTTTAACAATATAAATTTAACATTCCCATAAGCAAAATTTAGTGATCCCTTCTCCACAATTGAAATGCATACGATTTAAAAAAAATCAAAAGGTCTTTAATTTGGTTGTAATGGGGTTTTAGAGGTATAATTTTAGCTAAACAAAGAAAAAGGATAAAAAGATAGACAAAGAGCACAGACAATGTATAATATCAAGATTTTCATTATATCAAAACAAAATTTTCTTTGTAAAGGGAGATTAATCTTGAGGTTCTTTCACTAGCTCAAAAATTTAGAGATACTTTGGTAAGGTTTTTTTTTTTTTTTTGGCAAAAGGAAAATTTTATTTATATCTCAAATAAGGAGAGCCAGTACAATAAAAAATAATGAGACCTCTAATAGTTCATGGCAAAGATTCAAAAGAGAAAAAACTTAACGAATTATGAGTAATTCTGCTCTGAATTGTAATAGATTGAGCTACTTGATTGTCCTCCCTGTATATATGTGTGATGAAAGAATTTGAGGATAAAAGGAAAGACCGAATAGATTGAATCTTATGGTCAGACAAAATATTGTGAGTTTGCTGTAACTTTTGAATCAGTTGCAAGGAATCCACTTCTATTTGGAAAGGGGTCGGAATTCTTTGAGTACACCACTTGATACTTTCATGAAGAGCTTGAAGCTCTGCCTGAAATGGAGATATTGCTGAGAAGAGAAAGGAGTGGCTGGCCACAAAATTCCCATTTGAATTCCGAATGGCTACGCCTCCAAAAGAAGAAGAAACGGAAAAGGAAGCATCCACACTAATTTTATAAACTGTTGCAGTCGGCTTTCTCCAGTAAACCAAAGAGAGTTTATGATGATTCCTTTGACCAAAACTAGCAGGCAGCAGATCGGTTAGAGCATTGGCAGGTTTTCTAGTGAACTTGCGAGGCGAACAAGCAACTCCCTAATAAAAAATAAACTTACTAATCTGCTGCTGAAGTAAGTGAATTCCTGCATCACCTTCACCCCAACTGAAATTACAATATAATTTCCATACATGCCACATAATTACTAGAGGAACTAGAGGACGAAGGATGCTTACAGTACTTTGTGGCCGAGAAACTAAATACCATGTTATCAACTCTTGAGGCAGTGTACGACAAGTAGAATTGCCGCCGGAAAGCAAATATTGTCTAAAGAAATTCCATACCCATAGAACCTTAAGACAATGAAGAAACAGATGATCAATGGTGACTAATGAGTAGGAGCATAGAGGACAGCAATAAGGCCCATTAATCCCTAACACATTCAAACTATGAGGAAGAGGAAGAAGGACAGCAATAAGGCCCATTAATCCCTAACACATTCAAACTATGAGGAAGAGGAAGAGCATTTAGGAGCAACCTCCAAGTAAAGGCCGAGAGTTTTTTAGGGATAGAAGAGTCCCACATCATGCTAAATAACAATGTGTTGCTTTTATGTACTCGAACATGCTCATAAATAATAGCAAAAGAAGGTGACACAACCTCTGCAGAATTATTTAATTCCGAAGCCACTTCATGAACACGACAAATGCGTTTCCACGAGCAGGAATCAGTCGCTTGAAAAGACATAAAACCTTTACGGTGATACCTCTGAAACATGTAAGCAGACCATATCGAATCGCACTTCATATAAGAGAACCAAAGCTTGACTGAGTATGCTTATTGAATGGAAGAAAGGGATCGTAGACCCAAACCGCCCTCAGCAGTAGGAAAACAAATTTTCTGGAATTTAACCCAATGATGCTTATTTTTTGCATCTGTTTTACCCCATAAAAAATCTGCCATTTGAGTCTCCAAAATACCAATAACACGAGCTGGAAGCTTCATAGTACCTATAATATGCATGGGAATTGAACTTAAAACATGCTTAATTAAGACCAATCTACCACCCATCGACAGAATTGTCTTAGACCATCCCATAAGCTTAGCAGAGATCTTTTTAATCAACTCACTACAATATGAGGTACGATTAATACCTTGGTGAATCGGGGCACTGAGATATATGAAAGGGAGGCATTTCTTTTTAATTGAAAGAGCTGCTTCAATTCTTGAGAGGGTCAGGGACCCCAGTTTTTTCGAACAATAGTAAGAACACTTTTCAAAGTTAATCATTTGGCCCGAAACATCTTGATAGTAAAGGATAAACTTTTTAAAATTGGCGGTACTACGCTTATCCCCCCTAATGAAGATCAATAGATCATCTGCAAAGCTTAAATGAGTAACAGGGGGAATAATTGCGAGCAAGCTTATAAGGTTGAATTTTTCCAAAAGAGACAAGATGTTTCAAACCGCGAGAGAAACATTCAGAAACCAAAATAAATAAGTAAGGAGAAAGTGGATCCCCTTGTTTGACCCCTCTAGAAGGTGCGAAGAAACCATAATTGACACCATTAAATCAAACTGACAGTCTGGTGGCCGAAAGGTTTGCTATGATCAATCAAACAATAGGTTGAGAGAAGCCAAAGCGAAACAGGACTGCCTCTAAGAAAGACCATGAGACACGATCAAAGGCTTTAGCTATATCAAGCTTAATGGCAATATTGTTTTCTCTAGCTTTCCTGCCAATTTCATGAATCATCTCATTAGCCAAAAGGATCTGGGAGTGAATTGACCTACCTTTCATGAAACTAGCCTGTTTCGGAGATATTAAGAAATCCAAAAGTGGAGCAATCCTGTTTGCCAAAATTCTAGTACACACTTTAAAGTTAGTAAGACAAATAGGACGAAATTGGTCGAAAACTGATGGATTCTCAACTTTAGGAATGAGAATAATCTGAGCGCAACTGAAAGACTGAGGTATTGGAAGGCCCAGAAAAAATTCCTTAACAGTGCTACAAACGTCCCACTGAATAATAGACCAACAGTCTCTATAGAATCTCCCGTCAAAACCATCTGGACCAGGAGCACTAGAAGGATCAAGTTGCCAGACCGCGTTTTTAATTTCAGAATCAGTAGAAATAGCTCCCAAAGCCAAATTATGTTCCGTCGTAATTAATGAAGGAAGATACTCAATAATTTGGCTACAGTCTTGTTGCATAACTTCACCTTGAAAGAGACTGGAAAAATGCTTGACCGCCTCCTCACCTATGTCTTCCTGCAACGAAAGCCAAACACCATCAGAGTTTTTAATTGAGGAGATACGTTGAAATTTCCTTGATAGCTTGACATAATTATGAAAGAATTTAGTATTCGAGTCCCCATCTTCTAGCCATTTAACAAAGCCAAACACCATCAGAGTTTTTAATTGAGGAGATACGTTGAAATTTCCTTGATAGCTTGACATAATTATGAAAGAATTTAGTATTCGAGTCCCCATCTTCTAGCCATTTAACATGAGATTTTTGTTTCCAGTATATTTCCTCAAGCCGAAGTTTACGGAGAAGGTGAGCTTCTTTTTCCTACCATGTCTTCCTATTATTCGGACAAGGATCTGCAACATATTCTATTTCAGCTGTCTCAGCGCTACTTCAGCATCCTTGATAGCAGAAAAAATGTCACCAAAAATAGTCTTATTCCATTGCCTAATCGCACCTTTGAGAGCCTTGAGTTTAAGATGAAAACCCTTCATCCCCCCTCCAGAAAAAGACGAGTTCCACTGCTCCCAAATCATGGGAAGAAAAGAAGGATTACTGAGCCACATATGCTGAAATTTGAAAGGCTTAGGAGCATTGAACAAGCTCTTATTACAATTCAACAAAAGAGGGGAATGATCCGAAGAGGTTTTACCAAGATGCTTGATCTGAATCTCATCAAAGAAATCAAGGATAATTGATTTGCCATAAAGCGATCAAGAGCTTCCACACGTGTCCAAAACTACGCACACCAGTCCAAGTAAAAGGATTGCCTAAAAAGGTAAATCAACAAGACCACAAGAATTAGAACAATCAGAGAAGTCTCGCATACTGAGCAGATTTGGTGAAGATCCACCCTTATACTCTGAAATTAACTTAATAGTGTTGAAATCACCACCCACGATCCACGGCCCCTGAATTAAACCTGCCATACTCTCCAGCTTCTCCCACAAGGATAGTCTAGAAACCCGAGAATGAAGACCATACACAGCAGAGATCGTAAAAACAAAATCAAGGGATCTCATTCTTGCAGAAACTGAAACAAGCTGTATATCATCTTGGAAATTTTCAAGAGCAAAGTGAACATCATTCCACAATATCCAAATCTTGTTATTTAAGCTAGTGAAAAAATTGTTGAAACCCAAACGAGAAACAAACAAAGAACAATTACAAGAAGCAACCATAGGTTCTATAATAATAAGCAATTTAATGTTATAATCCGCACAGAGTTTTTGAAGTCAAGTGATAGAGGAATTAATACCTCTAAGGTTCCAGCATAATATATTCATTGAATAAGGTTAGACGCAAAAGCAACTATTTTCTTGGAATGACGCGTGACCGTAGGCTCAATTGGTTTGGGAGTTTTCTTCCTGTTAAATTTCTTTTTTGTAACAGCTACAAAGCCATCATTTAGTTCACAAGCTGCATTCAATTTATTCCCAATATAGATACCAATAGCTCTCAAATCATCTATGGAGCCGACATCCATATCCATATCAGCATCCCCTTCAGATTTATGCCCAACATAATCATAATCACTAACCGAGTGTTCAGGACCAGCATTAGAAAGACCACCAAAAGTCACGCAAGTTTTACCCCTCACCGCATCCAGGCCAGTAGTCCCGCCTTCATCATAAATGGGGTCTGGAACAGTAATATCGGCATGTCAATCTGAAATGGCACAAGCTGGTTCGCAACCTGATACAGATTGCAAAACTACATCATCTGCATCATGCATAGCCGCTTTGTCAGAGGGAATAGAAGTACTCGCGGAAGACACCTGAGATGAGGGGGGAAAAGCAGTCTTCTTAACAACCTAAGCTTTAGGAGGAGCAACATTTTGTGTTTGATTCTGGGTATCTTGTTTAGATTGGGTAGGTTTTATGGCAACAGCTTTTGGCAAAACATCATAGACATGATTTTGATCCTTTTTCCCTTTGCAAGATTGGGTGGAATGACCAATCCTCTCACAAGAGCTACAATATTGAGGAAGACCTTCATATACAACAGATTGAAAGAAACCATGTTTTCCATTATTAATCCTTGAGGAATGACCTTCATTAACAACAGGATTGAAAGAAAACCATGTTTTCCCATTATTAATCCACTTGTCAGGTAGTTCTTTGTTAGGTCCACTTCTAATACAAAAAAAATTCCTTTGTTAGGTCAACTTCTATACAAATTTGAGCTACCGAGGGTCTGATACGAGAAGATGTGGCAGCATCAATCTTAAGAGGAGCACCAATCAAATTAGCAATAAGAAATAAAGCCTCCTTATCGAATAAATGAATAGGAAGACCTTCAAGTGAAATCCAAATCGAAACTATGGGACTATTAATATTCGGTCTGAAGTCTGGAGACCATTTTGAGACTACCATAGCAAAACCATTGAAATACCAAATCTGACGAAGCCAGCAGCGGAGAAAGTCAGTCTCTAAATTAAAGTTGATCAAAACATTCTTGGCATCAATCAATCCAATTGAAAAAGGGCCCTTGAAGCCCACGGCATCAAAACTTTTCTTAAGAAAAGGCATGTTAGGTCGACCAGAATTAAAGGTGCCAATAAGTGCAAATCTAAACGGAGAAGTCAATTGAGTTACATCCTCAACAGAGAAATCAATTGAGGGAAAACCCTTAAATTTGCTAATACTAATATTCGACAATCTCCTGTTATCCTGAATAGATGCAAAGGAATAAGAATCGTCCAATGAAGAGGGGTAGTTTTGTTACCAGAAAGGGCAGCAGCATAGGAGCGGCCGGCAGGTGCAGAGGAACGAGAATCGTCCAGTGAAGAGTGATTGCAACTAGAAAAGGCAGCAGCATAGGAGCGGCCGGCAGGCTTAGGTTGAGCCGCCGCCACAAGAGGGGATACCAACGCCGTCGTACTGAACAAGGTCTCCTTTTACCTCTCTCAGTTTATGCCTTTTCTTTCTTCACAACTTTATCATAATCCGGCGACCACCATTTACAATTACTTTTGAAGGAAAATGTAGCTTCTACTTTGGTAAGGTTTTTTTTTTCATAATACTTTGATAATTTTCTTCCTTGCTTTAATTCCCCAAACTTGAATTCTTGATTGATTGCTTTTTATGAGGTGTTTCTCTTTATTTTTCTACTTGCTTCACTTGCTAGTACTAATGAAATTTTTCTCCCTTTTGTTGCTGATGTTTTAATAGAAATCAAATCCTTCAATTATGCTTTATTGCACTTAGGGTAGGAAATTAAGTTTAATAAAGGTAAATAAGAAAAATTTTGGATATATGCTTCAAATTGGTTGCAAAAGTCATATTTTAACTTAGGTGGCCTAGGCTAACAATGAAGTTCAACAAAGAATGCCTAAATCATTTCTTTTTAATTGTACGCATTTAAAATTTTGCCTCAAAGAGAATTCTAATTTGTTCTAGGAATGCCAAGGTTAAATAAATCTTGATTAAAACATATCTACAAATCATAAAATTCACAAAAATCAGTGTTTATAATCTCAGAAACAAATAGTCAAACCAAATAATCATGTTAAGTCAAAATTAAAATTAAAATTCAAACATACTAGACTAGAAAAACAACTAAATTTATCACAAGTTACTAAATTATGATAATTTTCAAGGTTGCTCACAATTATTCCAACCATGTTAAGGTTCCACAATTTTTCAACCATGTTTAAGCTAAAATATAAATAAAATTTCCAACCATGTTAAGCTAAAATAATAAAATAAAATTTTTAACTAAAATTTTCCTTCCCCCAACTTAATCTAGCACATTGTCCCCAATGTGTTCAAAAACAAGACTACGTCCCCAAACTTATCATATTATCAATATAAAAGATTGAGAGAGTGTAGGAAACATTACCATCATTATATTGAAAAATACAATAGAGTTGGGTTGTGGAATGTATCAAAGCTATAAAAACAGAAAAACACTAAAGGCAAGAATAGATAATATTAAAAGTAGAAAGGGAAAAACAATAAAAATTGAAGCCAAAGCTAAGATATAATAGCCAACACATAAAAAAAAAACAAAAAATCAAAAAAAAAAAAAGAAAATAACCGAAAACAAGTCAAAGTTCATCAAGATTCAGGTGGTGGAGGCGAACGTGGCTGTAATAATTGGATGACAGTGTGGAGTTGATCAGCAATTCCCTGATATTGGTCTTGCATGGTGTCACTACGAGAGTCGAGGCTCCCATGCATAATCTCGATGGACTGGAACCTGTCAGCAATCATGGATTCCATGCCGTTAAGGCGAGTGTCAAACATGTCCATTCGGGACATCATCCGAGCAAGAACTTCATCGTTGGACATGTTTGATGCTCCCTGAAAAGATGGGCCAGCTCCAGAAGTACTTGCACCAGAAGAAGCACCAAAAGCAGGGAAAGGAGTCGGATTATCCTTCTCTATGTTAGTGTCACCGGCATCCTCAGCCTCCTGATCGTCAAAACTGTCGTCTTTAGAACCCACTACCCGATACGAATCACCCACTTTTTCAACCAACTTCATATGAATCATGACATCTAAGTCGAGCCTAGTGCCCTTTCCCCCTCCCACACTATCATAAACTGGTCTAATGGGGTTCCAGATTCTCAGATATGCTGCAATGCGGGTTACAAAACACCCCATCATAATAGCTCCTTTATCCGCTCAGCAACCCTCGCCCATCGCAAACATAACCAATAACCAACATGAAATAAAGTCCCCTGATCAATTGCCCATAAAAAGTATAATTCGTGGCGGCTCAATACCCCATCACTCTCATTTCGCCCAAAATAGTGTTGGCTAGGAATTTGTGAATATACCTCAGGGCGGGGTTTCTTAATTTCGATGCTTTCGAAAACCTAGGATTATAATTATCTTCTCCAGTCTCCAGTTAGTTTCGTCCAAATATTGTGATCCCATAAAACATTTTTGTGATTTTTGTGGAAAATATTTTAACCTTTGGATTGCGATGCCGATAAATCGGTCTTATTATAACAATTTTGATCGCCACCCCATTGTTAGGCATGGGACATTTTTATAAAAATGACTTCTTTTTAACCCAATTTTTGTTTTAAGGCAAATTATTTTAAAAGACTGGTCCAGCGCGCAACAATGCGATCTGGTAAGGAATTGGGTACGGTGCCGCCCCGTTGGGAAGCCGACGCCGGAAAATCGGCCTCTATTTATTAACC